AAGACAAAAGAAAACGGGCCTGACTGACTGATATCTGATAGAAGACATATTGGTGAGATTAACATCTAGGGGACAATCCCTGACAAATCAGAGAGACCCGTAGGGCTATAGATGGTTGGGCCCATGGGAAAACAAGCTAAGTTAATTAGCTGACGTGACTGCTAGCTAGCTAGCTGGTGTCAACGGGAGGTCATGTGAAGTGAAATACTCCCACCAAAAAACACTTTGTCACTCCCACTGTTGTGTTGCTTTTATGAGAAAGCGCTGTCATGATGGACGATGTTTTGAACATGGTCTCTGAATGCCCGTGGGATAGAGTACACATAGGCACCTGTACAAGCTAGCTTGTATTGGGTTTCATAGTGTGGGTGTCAGTCAACTAAACAAACAGAGACCAAGCATGTAACTCAGTTAGTAAACCTATTTGTTTTGAGGAAGGGGCAAACAGGATTTGCATGTGTGTGTGTGTGTGTGCTTTTTTACGTGTGTGTGTTTGTGTGTGTGTGTGTGTGTGTGTTTGTGTGTGTTTACGTATGTGTGTGTTTACGTGTCTGTGTTAGAGTAGACCTCCATCGTCCATCGCTCACACATACTGAAAGCTGGGAATTAAAGTCAGTAATCATTATAATCATGTAATTGAGCATGGACAAAACAACACAACAACTAAGAGGAAACCTTTACAGCCTCTCATCATGAGGGTGTCCATTTTAGAACAAATACCCTTTCAGACTGAGGCGGATGCAAACAACAGTCCACACCTACACACACACACACACACACACACCTACATACACACACACACACACACACACACACACACAGACAGACACACACAGACACACACACACACACACACACACACACACACACAGACAGACACACACAGACACACACACACACACACACACACACACACACACTGAGGGGTTGAACAGGGTCCCTGTTAACAACACATGACAGCCAAAAGAGAAAGAACAGAGTTGATTTACACACCTGTTTGAAATGGGGTTTGGGGTCAAAAGGGTGTAGGGAGTATGACACTAAAACAAAAGAGTACTTTTGAGGGCTTGTGGGGGGTCAAAGATAGGAATTTAGGGATGTAAAAAGGCCTGTAGAGTGAAAGCTCTTTATACGTCTCAATTGTAACAGAGGTGAATCTGAAGGGTAGTCCATGTTTTAGATCAGAAGACTTTAATGCAAATCAAATCAATCCAATTTTATTAGTCACATGCTTCATAAACAACAGGTGTAGACTAACAGTGAAATGCTTACTTACAGGCCCTTCCCAACAATGCAGAGAGAAAGAAAATAGACAAATAAAATAAAAGTAATAACACTGTAGATACACAATGAGTAACAATAACCTGGCTATATACACAGGTACCAGTACCGAGTTGATGTGCAGGGGTACGAGGTAATTGAGGTAGATATGTACATATAACTAGGAATAAAGTGACAGATTGTAAACAGTAGCAGCAGCATATGTGACAAGTCATGTGATGAGTTCTCTCTCTCCCTCACTGTCTCTCTCTCGCTTTCTCTCTCTGTCTCTCTCTCCCTCTCAGTGAGTTAAAATCTTGGTAGCTAGCTAACGGACAGATGTTAGCTAATTACCCATGAACACCCACTGCTGTATGTGTCCTCGGAGGAGAATGATGTGAATCGCTGACATTTACCAAAATGTCACTGAGGTTTTGCAGGGAAGTAATAATAAAGTTTGTTTTATATTGTTTCAATGTATCTCTCTTTCTCTCTTTCTTTCTCTCTCGCTCTCTCCCCCCTCTCTCTCTCTTTCTCCCCCCCCCCCCCCCCTCTCTCTCTCTATGTATATCTCTCTGTGTATCTATCTCTCTCTCATTTGAAGGTTTCATTTCATCAATGCTTCTAATATGTCCCTTCCATGGAGACACTGAAGTGTGAGGATGACAAAAAAATTACGCAAAAACGGGTCAGGAAACAAGAGGCTTCTGGTAAATTCACCAGCGGTGGCCAAAATGATGGGATCCTGGCCTCCCGAGTGGCGCAGCTGTCTAAGGCACTGCATCGCAGTGTTGCGGTGTCACTACAGCCTGGGGTTCGATCCCAGGCTGTGTCACAACCGGCCGTGACCGGGAGTCCCATATGGCGGTGCACAATTGGCCCAGCGTCGTCCGGGTTAGGGGAATGTTTGGCCGGGGGGGGCTTTACTTGGCTCATTGCGCTCTAGCGACTCCTTGTGGCGGGCCGGGCGCCTGCAGGCTGACTTTGGTCGTCAGTTGAACGGTGTTTCCTCCGACACATTGGTGCAGCTGGCTTCCGGGTTAAGCGAGCGGGTGTTAAGGAGCGTGGCTTGGTGGGTCATGTTTCGGAGGACGCATGACTCATCCTTCGCCTCTCCCGAGCCCGTTGGGGAGTTGCAGAGATGAGACAAGATCGTAATCACGAAATTGGGGAGAAAAAGCAGGTAAAAATTACACACACACAAAAATGATGATGGGTTCCTGAGACTAAATGCCAACCACCTACTCAGACATTAACAGCGATTGTTTTCCCAACATAATTACTGAAGGTGTATCATGTCCCCAGTTTCCATTACAGCCTACTGTTTTTAATCAAAACAAGTTAATTGATATGGCGTTGACTCATTTAATGTATTTTGACAAAAATTCCGGTCTGGAAATTTCTTTTTTTTTTTTTACTAATATCCCCAATTGAGATAGCATTTAAACACTTTTAGGGCCAATCTGAAATGGCCCCCTATTTTCTAGTGCAATAGTATAATCCCTATAGTGCACTACTAGGATGCCATTTCAACAGTCTGAGTCTGTCCTTAGGGCTTGCTATAAGGGATGAGCTGGTTGTTATGGTCGCCAGTTAAGCCTTGAAGAATGAGCTGTAGTTATTGGAATAGTTGACCTGGGTTATCCACTGGTGCCCTGGTGTTGGGGGGATCCACCCTGCATGGTTTGTTAGTCATCTTCCATGGCTTAAGGCAAGGGTGTGTGTGGGAGTGTGTGTGTGTGTGTGTGTGTGTGTGTGTGTGTGTGTGTGTGTGTGTGTGTGCGTGTGTGCGTGCGTGTGTGTGTGTGTGTGTGAGTGTGTAAGCTAGGATCCCTTGTTTTGACACAGGAATTACCCTTTAATTAAAGAACATAGAGCTTGTTTTAATTTAAATGATAACTTGAAAGGGAACGGTTGACCCGTGTCATAAGAGGAGGGCTGAATGGTTGTAAACGGCATGATTCCACCCCTTAATAATATAATAATAATACGCCATTTAGCAGACGCTTTTATCCAAAGCGACTTACAGTCATGCGTGCATACATTTTTTTTTTGTGTGTATGTACCCCTTGGTGGTGGGTCAGTTGTGTGTGCGTGTGTGTGTGTATGTGTGTGTGTGTGTGTGTGTGTGTGTGTGTGTGTGTGTGTGTGTGTGTGTGTGTGTGTTTTGTATACGGCATGGGTCCACACCTGAGTGAGTCAGTGGTGTGTCTTTGGCTTCTTCGGGCACCACTCAATCAGCCCCAAGCTATGGCCTTCTCATAAGCCTTTCTCCCAACACTGGGAGAGTCTGTCTGTCTGTCAGTCTACTCTACCGATTGAAAGTCTGACTCCTATGATTTGGGATATTCCATTGTTCCATCTTGGATACCTGATTGGTCAAACATTGGACTTTATATTACAATGAACAAACTGAACCTATTTACCTCGAAACACAAGGAAGTTATACTCATAGAATTAGGAATTAGAACTCCTATATAGGCTACTCATATATAGGCCTACTAATATTATGGAGCGTTTTTTTATAGATCCATTCATTTTGCAAATGCAACACCTTCAAACAAGGCCACTGAGGCAGACCAGACCAGGGCAGGGCAGCTAGCTCTGTCCCTCAAATGGCTTCCGTCCTTTCCTTCCTCTTTTCCCTCTACGCAGCAGGCGGTGATAGAGAGGGGACGGACACTGTAGTGGTTCCCTTGTGCGTTGGACTTCAACGTTTTCTCTGTGAACCTTACTTCAAACACCCGTGGCCCACTGCTGCTGCTTTGAAGTGGTGTGTGTGTGTGTGTGTGTGTGTGTGTGTGTGTGTGTGTGTGTGTGTGTGTGTTTAAAGTAGATTTCAGAGAGGAGAGAGCTCTGTCTCAACATGTAGGCTACGTACCGGTAAAAAGAACTATCTTGTGCTGTAAAAAGCTAAAAGGCTACTGGGAAATGGGGAAAGAATCAAGGGTAATCAGTTCAATCCATTCCAGGCAGTCACACACAAAAATTGAGTAATTTTCCCTCTTTTTCAAAGGAATTCTCCTTCCGGGTTGAAGTTCAAGAAGACTGGAGTTTTTTCTAGCCTATTCATTTACATTTTAGTCATTTAGCAGACACTCTTATCCAGAGCGACTTACAGTTAGTGAGTGCATTCATTTTTCAGACTTATTCAGGCAGGCAATACATGTTATACACACCTGGACCTGGTCCAGAAAGACAACAATAGTCTGAATGTAGACAATATGAATGGGTGTGTGTGACCTATCCTCTCAATTGCTGATAATATTAAAGTAATCCTTCATTCACATGACCTTAGTGATGTGAACAAAACAAAACAGCCTACATGAGTCACAAAGAAGATGAACACCAAAATATAATCGTATTACATACAGTGCTTATAGCCACCTTATACACCAACTCGAATAGTTTTCATTCTGTTGCTATCATAAAGAAATATTTCAGTAATATTGTCTGTAGTCCACAAAATATGGGGGCCAAAGAAGAGACGTAGAGACAACCGTTGGCAGGAACCTACCTTGAAAGGCCGGCGTTAGGACCATGCGGCATGCATCAGACAGAGGCAGGCTTTCCGTGTACCCAATGCGCAACAATCCTCCAAGCACCGTTTCGTGCAATATAACCTGCGTTCATAAAAGCCCTATCACCACCAACAAGCAAAGCAGGCTCTACTGCTAGCTGCCTTTCTGTTTATTTTCCTCCAGGAAAAGTAGCCAGCAAAGCAGCCTAAGTGAACGAAAATGGCCAGAAGTGATAGGCAGAAAAGAGAGTTGAAGAGCGAATATGTGTTTTTGGACTCCGAAACGTCTATGGATCAGCAAGATTTTGATATGTCTAGTTGCTCTATTAATGACGTCTTCAACTCCAGAGACGGCGCTTCTTCTCCATTGAGTCAGATTGATACTTTTCTGAAAAACGTTCAAGTTTTGCTGGAAGCAGCAAGTTTTATCGAGAACGCCGAGAGGAAGGATGGAAGTAAGTTTATTTGTGTAACGGTTTTCTCCCAGTAATATTCAGGGAAACAAGAGTTTCATTGTCAACAGACGCGAGACAACAAAGGGCTGAGTTCATTCAACTGATCTACTTATTATTCTCATGCATGCATTATTATGCACGCGCACTGATATTGCACTAATAGCCTAATATTATGAATGTAATACATTATCTATTACTTTCCCTGTAGTCTAGATTTCTGATATGATTAAGATATATAATTTTGTGTATGTTTTTCTACCCCTCAAAAGCATAATTTGCTTTGCACCTGCTCACTGGAACAATTTAATTATTTAACCTAAATTCCTATTTCACCATATATTCCTATTTGACCATATAGGCCAGGCCACTGACGAAGCCTAGATTTATTAAACCCCATAATGGTTTTAGGTGTGGGTGCACAGAACATTTTGTTGGCCACCACTTTGAGAGTAGATATATTTTACCACAGCATCGCAGCGCCCTCCAACTCATTTTGGGGTGACGTCATAGTGCCCCCGCAGCCTCCTCGGTAGTCTAAACAGCTCGATTGTTTGGGGGGAGAGATAGGCCTATTGTTAGATGTTTGTACATATTTCAGATAGGATGCTTTTTCTCACTATTATGACGCTAGCCTAGAGCACCTGGTTTCAGTTGTATTGCTTTATATTTCGGTTCATTGTGCAATAGTTGCACAATCTGTAAATCTCAAGAAAGGGATTTTGTTGAATAGATGCTTGCATGCTTTATTATATTTTCTATAAAAAATACTTTCTTTAGTACACCATTTACGTATCAGGTTATTGCAAAAAGTTTAATATAATAAGTAAGTTTCAAAGTTAGAGTAAATTGATTACTATTCTCTTATTATCTAACAAACAATGATATCTTTCGTGCAACATTTTCATCTCTCCTTTTTTTCTACCCGATTGTTGTTGCTTCCTGATACTTGCGGGTTTTCCACATGGCGCGAAATCCCTTTGTGATTGGTCAAGTGCAAGTTCGCATGAGATGCCTGTCACAAGGTATCACCAATCGAGCGTCTCCTTTGCGGTGATGTAATTTGTTGCTGGGCCCGGCTTCAGTCAGCAGGTATACCCCCACTCTGGTGTTGATTCATGGGGCTTGCAGTCTTTTTTGCTAGAAATGAATGCGAAAGGAGATATGATCATCGGGAATAGCATACAGACCGGTTTTCAACTACAATCCAGTGGACAATATTCATGTTTGATGTCTTTAGTCTGGAGTGATCTGTAGCCCATTCCTGCTTTTAGACTCATTATAGGCCAGTTAATAACGTTTTAACATAATAACATAGGATAATCAGGCTATTAAAATAAGGCTTATTCATATAATGTAGTCTCTTTCCTTTACATTTCCAATTAAAAGTAATTATTTCAATAACATGAAACATTGGAGGTGGACAGTAGTACATTGCAAAGTAGCATAGCAGCCATAGCATAGGGGTAATATTTTCAGCTTAGAGATCAATAGAATAAAGACTCAATATCCCATATAGCTTTGCGTCGAGACCAGCCCCCAGCTCGAGCTAGGTCTCCGTCCCTCAGCTGTGGAGCTAGGTAAACAAACTGGGAGGAGTGAACACAGGCAGCAGCAGGGACTTTGCAGGCTTTGGGCTTTCGGTGGAAATGTTATGTAGTTTATATCCATTTTGTAAAATTTTTAACTGTTTTTCCTGAATACTTTAAATACTTTGCTACACTCGTTTTTCGATTTTTTAACGGCTGAAAACCTGACTGAATAGGCTGCAGCTAGCTAGCTGTGTTGTATAAGACTAGGAATATTTTTTTCGACAAGGCTTTTAATTCCAGATCCAGCAAACAAATTAGCTAACAAACAAGACATTTCTGAAGTAACGTTTTGTGTTATACTCAACGAGGAACAATTATTCCGATTTTGGATCGTGAAACGCAATAATACCTGTCTTTGAAATAGTATCACAAGTTGTAGAAACGTTTAGCTAACGTTCGCTAGCTCTAGCAGAATGACGGCAGTGCAGTTGATGAACATCCAGAGGTTATTGGAAGCAGCAGAATATCTAGAAAGGAGGGAGAGAGGTATGCAAAAAATAAAATAACGTTAGGCATTTGTGGTTAGATTCGTTTAATTTGATTATGTAGGTTCATTTGTGTCTTTTCAGAGTTTTAAAAACATTTGCTTGTCATGTTTGACAACTTTAAAATACACCACAGACAAATGTAGCTAGGCTATGTCAGTGACAGTGTTCTGTGTGTGTTGTTGCTGTTTTCAAGCGTCATCACCGAAAACAAACGATTAATTCCGTTAACGGTAGATGTGTGGTGGGTGGCAAGAGTTGCACAATTTATTCGGATGATCTAGCACCAACATTGTATATTTTTTCCCGTTGTTTACAAAATGTTGCATATGGTGGGGGACGGTCCAACTTGCCTTAACCACAATTTTATTTCAACAGAGTGTGAACACGGATATGCATCGACGTTTCCGTCGTCCATTCAGAACACGAACTACCAGAGGCAAAAGAAATTTCGAAACAAGAAGTTCCACAATAACCATAACAGGTAAGAAAAACGGCACTTTTGTTGATCAATAGCTTCGAGCTTGCATGCCATGCCAATGTGTTATTTGCCTGGGTATTTATGTTGATCTAAACAAATGAATTAACTGTCATTCAGTTGCATTTCTCTATAATAAGCTGAATGATCGATAACAATGCTGCCATAATGTGTTATCACTCGACTGTCAGTGCAACGTTGTAGCCTATTGACTGGTAAAACAAGCCTAGATGTGGTTGCCACAACACCACTTGAGGGTCTTAACCTACTTCTGCCCTCTTTTGCAGCATGTAAGCCCACTTATAGAACATCATGGCATGTTATATGCAGGAGTTAACATGTATTCAGAGAAATTGTCCAAGCATAAAATATACACGTGGATTAAAAACCGTGTAGCCTACAGAGAGTGAATGTTAGGGCACTCTTTGCTTTGGGCATGGGGTAGCACTAACAGCTGGAGCTCGCTATCATCAGCTGATTGTCAAACTGATGGAGGTTAGGGACTGGGAGAAATTTGCAGATGGAAAAACCGACTAACACCATGGGTTTTGAATTATTTTATGTACAAAACAAATAATAATTGGTTATAATATAGTCGTTATTACAGTCTTACAACTGATTCCCATTTACAGTGTCGAAACATTTGTTAATACTATATGTTGTTATACTCTTCCCAAGCTATAATATTTGGTTAGTTTTGTCCCCAACCCTGATGGAAAAAAGCTCCTATTTGCGGCTGGTGTTGTATGCAGGCACGAGCAAGGTGAATACATAGAACCTTTTAAAAGACTGTCGATGTGGCTTTGTGATTTTTTCCCCATTTGTATGTGTAATCTGATTATAACAAAAAATCTATGCAGTTTAATCTAATGTATAAACGTTAGCCTGCACTTCAATAGCTGATGTATTTGAGAATGACGTTCTACAAAGCCTTAGACAAGATTGATACTACTGCCGTAATGCTCTTTCAGAGGAAAATGCATTGAAGGCTAGATTCTGTATAGACTATAATAGCGTAGGTGGTCTTATCGGTTAAGACCATGGACATACTATTGTCCTCTACTTATACAGTCGTCTTACCATAGACAGCCAGCCGTGATTCAATCCGACTGAGAGACTGAGAGCCTTTTTCATCTTAAACTTGAGAGGAATTAAAAACAGGAACAAACATTTTACTCACAGCTATAGTGTAGCCAAGTTATGCATGGCAATGATAGTGATCAGATTGGCTGATCTCACACTCTCTGTCCCTCTTTCACCCTATAGAGCAGGGCCATGTTTATCTCACCGTTGTGTGTGGCAGGGATCCTCCATTCCTCCATTCAAGTCATCTGCATCTGTTGAGCTATTGCTACAGACATTCTGATCGCACTCTGATAGCTGATCTGATGTGTCCTGTAGCCTACCGTAGAGGGTGATTATACACTATTGTCTACTGTATAGGCTAGTGCAGCGTTTCCCAAACAGGGTCCTCGGGACCCAAGGGGGGCACGTTTTGGTTTTTGCCCTAACACTACACAGCTGACTCAAATGATCAAAGCTTGATGATTATTTGAATCCGCTGTGCAGTGCTAGGGCAAAAACCAAAAACGTGCACCCCTTGGGAAACCCTGGGCTAGTGTGTTTACGAGTGTTAACCCATATAGGAGATCTAGGCCTATCTGGCTTGATTCAAATTTGATTGGTCACATACACGAGTTTAGCAGATGTTATTGCGGGTGTAGCGAAATGCTTGTGCTTCTAGCTCCGTCAGTGCAGTAATATCTGACAATTTCACAACATATACCCAATACACACAAAACTAGTAAGGAATGGGATTTGAGAATATATACATATATGGACAAGCAATGACAGAGTGGCATGGACTAAGATACATTAGAATAGAATGCAGTATATACATATGAGATGAGTAGTTTAAGATATGTAAACATTATTAAAGTGACTAGTATTCCATTTCTTAAAGTGGCCAGTGATTTCAATAGTAAGCAGCAACCTCTAATGTGCTAGTGATGGCTATTTAACAGTCTGATGCCTTAAGATACAAGCTGTTTTTCATTCTCTCGGTCCCAGCTTTGATGCACCTGTACTGACCTCGCCTTCTGGATGATAGCGGGGTGAACAGGCAGTGGCTCTGGTGGTTGATGTCCTTGATGATCTTTTTGGCCTTCCTGTGACATCCGGTGCTGTATGTGTCTTAGAGGGCGGCTAGTTTACAAGGAGCAGCTCCAGGTCTCCATATAAAGATGTACTGTGGGGTTGTTGGTTGATCCTTCCTCCACGGGGAGGCTGCTGCAGACCAGGGTTCAAATACTATTTGAAACCGTTTATATCGTTTTAGAGTTTACTCTAACCTGCTTGGAGTAGGGATGGGCATTTGAAATTATTTCACTATTCAAATATCATATCATGATTTATTTTCCTCAGATATCCTGATAGTCGAAATTCAAAATAATCTTCACCAATCAGAATGATGCAAAATGCCACAACAGCAGAGAGTGCACAGTTGTTTCTTAAAAATACTATAAGAGAAGTAGTCAATTTCTCCTCAACCATGAAAGACTATAATGCATGTTGTTGATGTTAGTTCTATGTGTGTAGTTAAAGGGATACATCAGGATTTTGGCAGAGGCCCTTTATCTACTTCCCCAGAGTCATATGGTGGATGCCTGGTGCATACCATTGTTATGTCTCTGTGTCTAGAATGAAGGAAGTTGGAGGTAGTTTCTCAAGCCAATGCTATCTAGCGTTAGCAATTGCGCTAGCGCTAATTAGCAACTTCCATCAAACTGCACACAGAGACATAAAAATGGTATCCATGAGTTCATCTGACTCTGGGGAAATAGATAAAGGGCCTCATTGCCAAAATCCCAAAGTATCCCCCCTTTAAGGGCAAGGCTTGCTACTGTGATTGTTCATCTGGGGCTGTGATAAATTGTGCCAACCCTGTAAAACACATTCCAGCTCATCTTTCATCCCCCTGTAGGGAATATCTGACATTAAGTAATATCATCCAATTATTTACACTTTAACCCATATGATTGGTGGGACGGTAGCGTCCTCATAGCCACCATTAGAACAACGCAATAGCAGCAAACACAGAGTTTGTCTGCACCCCTTTAATATCTCTCCATCATTTTTTACAGGGGAGAAATAAACTTGCAGGAGCATAAAGTTTTAACATTGTATATGAGAAGGCTTTGTACAGTTTATGAGCTGAGCTGTAAATTGTGTGGTATTTACACTAATAAATGGTGGCAGGCTCTGGCTCCTGGCTGGCTGGTGGTCTATTGGCTCTATAGATAAAAACGGTTTAGATTAATCAAGATAGGCTTGTGGGTGTAGGGTAGGGTGTGGTGGGTGTAGGGTGTGTGTCTGTGTGTGTGTAGCCTAATATACGGAGTCCGGCACGGTTGTTTATTTATAGCACGGAGTTGCAAAATGTTTCGGAGGAGGATGTCGTTTTTCTACATAATTATTTACAGTACAGGAAATTGGTTACATCTTAGGTCCTTGCTAGGCTGTGATGGCAAGTTTAGCAGAGACCGGCTTCTCTGGTCCTTGTTAATGAGAAATGACTGTCACAGTTCAGTTGTTAACCCAGTCTTGCATACACAATAAGCACAAGAGCAGCAGCGGTGGTAATGTATTCTAATGGAGACATATGGTGTTTTTATGTACATTAATAATTAAATGTAAAATAAAATAAAAAGGATTTGGAGTCGCTCTGAAGAGGCGCCAACTCCCAGAATCCCTTGTAACCTGGCAGCGTCTCTTTTCCTCCCTCTCTGTCGTTCTTTCTTTCTCCTTACTCTCTTCCTCATCCCTTGTTCCGTGTAGCTAAACAGCGGTCTATCCTATCAGGTCAGCCTCTGCAGGAGGATGCCATTTTTGTGTGTGAAAATTTCGCAACAGTAATAGTTCCCCTCCAATAAAGAGAAGTGCCCATATGACCTGGGAACCAATAATTGGTTCCTCCCTGCGGCGAGTGGGTTGAGGAGTTTGTTTAAAAAGACACACACACACACTCTCATACACACACACACTGGGCGGGCAGGCAGGCCATTTAGGCCGTAGCAGGAGGGCCTGATTATCTTCAGTGTGTTGCCATACAAAGAGGCTCTTAGGGAACCAGATGAATCACTTTGCATTATTAACACAGCACTGAGTCTGAGGCCTGACACATACACACGCCACACTCTCAGGCAGCCATACACATGGGGCTACATGGGGCTATGCAGTGTTGGAGGAGGAGGTTGAAGTGTGTGACGAAACAGGCCCTTTGTATGGGACTGAAGCCTGGCCGGGCATATCAACCATACTCACAGTGCATAGTGCACACTGACTCTCAGGCACAGTCTTAGTATTGCACCTCGCAGTCCAGCCAATCTGTGTGTGTGTGTGTGTGTGTGTGTGTGTGTGTGTAGGAGTTTAGTACAGTACCTCTCCATTGGGATTAATTGATCAATACAATTCATTCTGATCAGACCAAGTCAAAGTAAGTGCAGTGTACCAGCAATATACTGTTCCCCTCAACTGAATCCATGGATGTTTGTTGAAATAGATACGCCTATTGACTTCTGAAATGAAGCTTTTGTAATTATTGATGTGTTGAAATGTCACAGGTCTTTGCAATGTGTTGGTTCCTTGGTTAACAAGTTCCTTTCTTGTTTTTCTGTTTGCAGGTCCACACATAATGAGTTGGAGAAGAACAGGTGAGTTGGTCTTTCATTTTCATACTTATTACACTTAAAACAAAAAGTCAACTTGTCCAAATATATACGGAAAAGTCCAACTAGCCCCTCAAATTGCACTGCAAAATCACTTGCTCTTAGCCTGCCAGTTTGTAGCTTTCCACCAGGCAACTTTCCCCAGCAACAGGTTATTAAAGCAAAAGTAAGATTTGACCTAGTTCCTCTTAATCTAAGGATATTCTCTCTCTCTGCCTCTCTCTCTCTGCCTCTCTCTCTCTGCCTCTCTCTTTCTGCCCTCTCTCTCTCTACCTCT